CCTGAGTCCCTAGGCCTAGGGCTGGAATATGCAAATAGAGGGATGCCATGTAAATACACCTGTGGATACAACATACTGTAACACATGGCTTCTTCCACAGAACAGCTCAGAGCAGCAGCTGGTTTCATGCCATAAAATATGGTGCGCTCCTACTCCCCCGGAGGGAATAAAAACTTATTTTTTTTTATTTTACTTCTTAACTGCTTTTAACGTGAGTCTCCTGCAAAAGCATCTTTTTTTCCTCCCCAAGTGGACACTGATGGTTTCAGCATGCAGCACAAGGCTTTTATTAAAAAACAGATGATGGTTCCTTGAAATGTAAGCTAGTGGGGAGATACCTGGTGAAAGAAAAAGCAAGGTCATTAGGCCAAATATACGGAGATTGGTGATGTGTTACCATAGATCCTCTTCTTGTTGTCGTTCTTGAGTCTGTAAATGCAATGCATTTTAACAAAACGCTAAGTGGAGGGTCTGCCAGCTTTTCCAGGCAAGATGTTGTGCAAGGGCAGGAGTTTGACCCAGGCTCAAATTGCATCAGACTAGAAACTTCCCCTTTCAGCTCCTGAAGAATAGCTGAATGGATTTTTCTTTACACAATGAGAGTATAAAACACCTTCATATTTTAGTTTTGAAGAAAAGTATGTCATGCTTAACCTTTAAAGAGAACAGTATAATGAAGTACAATTGTGTTCAGATTTACTAGTCCTTTATTCCTCCCTACCCTCTCTCTCACGGGTCTTCTGCTTACTGTAAGACACCAAAAACCTGCTTGTCCCTATACAAATCTGCTATTTCTAAGAAGACTAAGACAACCTCGAGACATTTATCTTTTACAGGAAGTGGTTTATGTGGAGAGGGAGACAATCGTAAGCCCCTCATTCTCTGCTTGTACAGGAACAGATGACTTCAAGATAGAACTTATTAAAGCTTTGTGCCTAGCATTTTTAGGGTGGAACTGGCCTTCATTTAAAGAAGTTGCTTGTAAGAAGCAGACACTAAACCAAAATCCATTTCATCTGGTAGCAATTTCTGGGACTTTCCTAGTTATTTTCTGTGGTTCACCTCATTTGGCTCAAGAGTTAACAGCAACTCAGAAAATAAGGCCTGAAGAAAGCTCAGTTTCTAATTCTTTTGGTTTTTATGCTAGGCATTCACCTGGACCAGTCATTGGTAATGAAACTGATGCCCGAGTAGATCACTTATGCTCTCACTCCCTGAGAGGTGGTGAATGGGTAGATCCATAGGCATCACATTTACCCAAAGAACCTCATCTGCCTAGGTCCCTAGAAGCATTGTTTGTATTCAAGACAAAGGGTGAGTAGGGCAACTTTTGCAACAGATAGCCTGATAAATGGGTGAGTACACTGGTAGTAGAAAAAAGATCGAGAGCATCACACCTGTACTCCCAGACAGTCCATATCAAGCTGCAGAACTGATGTCACTTGTGCTACACGCATTTCAACAGAATGAACATAGCACCAGGTGCTGGTGTAAGTCAGTCAGCTACATAACACCAAAAGTTGGATGACTGCGATGCAAACTCTGCTCATGCCAAACTGAAATACCACTTATCATTCATGAAAGGATGGTATCCTGTTACGTAGAATAGGAAAACCCCCTGACTCGAATAAGTGTGAAAGACAAGGGGTACGTAGGTACATTTAGGAGATGGTACATGTGTTGCAGGGGGACAACTTGATTCTTGTGAAAGTGGGATGAAACCAGAAGGTAAGTTTCAGTATTGTATTTGTATTACACTTACTGCAGGAAAATGCAGCCAGATGAAACGGTTACAGATTAATCTTAATCCTGGCAGGATCGTAGGAAAAACTAGGGCTGGAAGGGACCTTGTGAGTCATCTAGTCCGGGCCACTGCTCATGGCAGGATCATCCCTACCTAAACAATCCCAGCCAAGTCCCCCCCCTCAACTTTTTAAAGGGATGAGATTGTTTTCTCCCCACCATAGTGTAGAATGGAAGGCTGTCTGAATATTTCTTAATGCCTGCGGTCACTCAGTGTGAAAGCCAGTAAGATATGGTCAAGAACGGCAGGATCTTGTGGCAAAAAGTACTATCGTGCCATTACTCAATAGAATGGATGCAAATACAAAATGACTCATTGCACAGAGGCAATTAGATAAGTTACAAACTTTATTATAGGCAGCATGAGTACAAGGGCACTTCCATGATCCATTTATCACCATCAACTTTGCCTTTATTTTTATGCTAGCTCCCAGTGCTTAATGACTAGAAGCCAAGTTCAGTGGAGTTGGATTCTTGCCACCAATGGAGTTTTTTCCGGTGCTGAATCTGGCTCAACATAATCTCAGCGCAATCTGTAATTCTTTTTTACAGATGTAACAGTGGTTTAACAGATTATGCAAATGAACATCAGAGGATTCACAGAACATGTTTCTCGAACTATGTTATGTATGTAAAATGTGGGAACTTTCTATTTTCTATTTGCTCTCACTTATGTAGCAATGTGTTTACAGTCAGGGCAGACAGTTGTGTTCAGTTAGCAGGACTGCAAGGAGCACTGAAGCGAAAGATCAGGAAATGAAACCGATAGTCTTGCAGCAGGCGAGGAGTTGAGCAGAGGGGACCTGAACTGCAAGCGTTTCAGTGAAGCTCAGAAAACAAGGAAACAACTGACATATGAGAAGGGGCCTAAAACTAATCTTATGGGTATGTGCCAATCATTGCGACAACTATGCTATTACAGTTATCAGAGGAACACAGAACAACTGACTTGGTACTATACACTGCCCTAAGATTAACATGAGACCAAATATAAAAGATTATGAAATCTTCACATTACACAAGGGTATGTAATTTATAACTGGGAGTGTAAGATGTTCCTTCTTAGCAAATACATATAAATAAAATCATTAACCTGATTTAGCAGACACTGGAAAAGTATACAGATCTTTTGTTAAAAAAATGAAATACAAGACCATTTAAAAACCATACTATATTTGCAACAGGTGTCAGCTTTAAGACAGATACAGAACTTCAAATCCTGTGTAACAAGTGTATTTAAAAATCAAAATATGAAAGGCTACCATTTACAAACAAAAAAATTGCTATTTTATTTAATTTTTTTAGAAAGCAGTACTTTTAAAAAGAGAATATATAAATAAAGGCAGATTCGGAGACATTTCAAACTTTTTTAAAAGGCATTAATCTGTACAAGCAGGCACACAACCATGATGACTGGAGAGCATATCAGTGCCTACAAGCCTATTAGATCCATAACTACAGAGTTTATGCCTCTCCCATTGTTAAGGCAGGGGTGAAAATTTCATTTCAGCAGCATGGACTAACTGCTGCCTCTCATAGAGGGGAGACTGGATATTAAGACGACATTGGTCTGATTTTTCAGACTGGATTTTAAGATGACACTGGTTTGATTTTTCAGAGCTACCAGTATCCTGTGCTCCCCTGTTTGATTACTTCAGGAAACAGGCAGAAGTGAATGAGCACATGTGTGGCTCCAGTTCATATGGCTACAATCCAAACAGAAAGTGGCTGAAACGCTTCATTTCCTCACACAGGGCCAATGCCACTTTCTGAAATGGAGCAATGCTCTATACAGCGTGTGGCTGGTGAGAGAAAACCCCTCTCCAGCTCTGGGATTACTTTACAGCCCTTCCAAGAGGAAATTCCTCACCCAAAGCGGTCATCCAGACCATTTGGGAAAGGGGACCTGTAGATGACAAGAGATCGTCACCCAAGAGAATAAAATAATTTCACGTTTAAAACAGATGTTTGTTTTTAAAAGCGCTGTTTGTTTCTAGGACTTGGAGAGGATTTTGATTGCTCACATTCACGAACACTAAATATGTTTCACTATCGCATACTCTGCTCAGGGTCACAAAAAAGAGGGTGCCTTAAAAGCCCCATTCTGCTAACATTACCTGAAGCCGTAACAGCTAATTTGTTTTGACAGACAACCCCCGCTGCAGAAGATCCCTTCTTCCAGCACAATTTAGTGTTTTGTACTCATGAGGTTTTGCAGCATGTCTATGGGTAGCGGGAAGACAATGGTAGAGTTCTTCTCTGCAGCAATGGTAGTCAGGGTCTGCAGGTAGCGAAGCTGAAGAGCAGCAGGGGACTCGCTAATAACCATGGAGGCTTCTTTCAGGGCCCTGGAGGCATTCATTTCACCCTCAGCTGCAATTACCTGGGGGGGAACAAAATGGGTGAAATAGCAGGTGTTTGGCACGCTGCTTCCTCAGAGGCTCACTGAGCTATTTCAGTCCCTTAAGTTACAAGACCAAGTGCCAAACTGTGCACCATCCTTAGGTAGCAGATGTGAACACAGTCTCTATGGAGAGCTTTAGTTTATAACTTATGAGTTTTGTACCTTCTGAAATAGCTGCCAGGACCCTGCTGCCCCCCCACCAGTACCCTGCCAAAGGGACTCTTGCACACTACCACCCTCTTGCAGACCCATCTTACTGATATTAGTGGAAGGCAGCAGTAGAGAAGCCAGGAGAAGCTAAATCCATGGGCTGTGTAACAAGCTTATACAAGATTTCAACTGGCAAAGAAAATCAAAGCAGCTTGTGAAGAATGAGAGAAGGGAATAAACTTGGGTACCTTCAAGTTTGAGGTACCCAAGATTCACTTTGAAGATAAAGCTATGCTATGCACTGAACATTCACTATGAAGTGTGTCCCACCCTATCAGGGTGAATGCAGTGGTTGGCAAACAATTCAGCACCAAAGCTCATGTTTGAATCACTCACCTGCTAGAAATCCTACTGGAACAGGATCCAAGACAGGTGCGGTGACACCAAGCACCTGGACCTGCAGCCTCAGCTGTTTTCAACTCACTTCTCAGAGCTTCCTTCTGCCCTTTCCCTTTCTGCATCGAGTGGCCACCTCTCACACTTCTGGCTCCTTCCCTTCACCATATAAACAGGCATAGGTCTCTCCCATCTTAATATTTACCCTTGTCCTCAAGTGCCTCTTCAGCTACTGCCCTATCTCCCTGTCATTTTTAAGTCCATTGTACACAGCCGTTTACACACTGCTTGCCAGAGGGATCTAGGATGGAGCTTTTCTCCTCCAGTTCTACCTGGTTTCTCCCCTACACACTCCACTGGCACTATCATCATCACCACCACAGTTACTGCAACATCCCTCTCTGCCCTTGACACATGCTATTTGCCCAGTCATCCCCAGTCAGAACACAGCTGCAAAGAGCATCATCCTAGCCTGTTGCTTTGATCATGTCACCCCTCTTTTTGCATCTCTATTGGCTCTTCTTTTTTCTGTCGCATCAAACAGAAGTTATTCATCTTCAAGTTCAGGCCCCTGCATGGCCTATCATCTCTTGCTCACTATTGAGATGTCAACTCCCACTTCTGATAGGCATACAGAGGCTGGCACTGTTGTTCACTTTTTGCATTGTCAAACAAGTGCCTTTGTGCTTTCTCTCATGCTGCCCTTCACCCTTGGGATGAACTCCCTGTAGACATGCACAAACTTAAGTCATTATTTTATTGCGCATCGCTCCTTAAAACTCCCTCTGCTCTGCTATGATGTGTACAAAAATCTTGACAGTGGTAAAACTTTTTGATGAGCTAAGACTGGCGGATGGGTGTGGGTGTGCACACAAGGGGGGTTGCCACTATTTTAACCATTAGTTTAAGTTATCAATATGAAGTTGGTAAATTATTTAACTCACAAAAATGTAGGCTTTAATCTTTGGAAAGTATGAGGTATTGCTTACAACCAAGGCCTTCTCCAACTGTCCTGCAAAGTTCACCTTCAGTATTCAGCCACCAAGTGCATCCAATGAAATCCTGGTTTCCTCATTTTTATTTCCATGCACAAACATAAGCAAGCAAGCTGTTTTTACAAGTGGAATCTAAAGGTTTCATTAGCTTTTTCTCCTTTTCACTAAGTATACTCACTTTTCAGTAAGCATATGATAATGAATATGAATTTAGATATCACGATTCAAAAACAGGCAAAAATTAAATTCTGTGGCATTAAAAAAACTACAATTAAACCTTCTGTTGTCAAGAAGGAGCTCTGCATTTTGCAATGAAAGTTCAATATTTCCAATGAGAGAGAGGTCAGAAAAAAAACATTAATGTGTTTCTAAAAGTAAAAGACCTTTCCAATTTTGGTCTTGGGCTGGCACTTCCAACAGAATCTGCAATTTTGTTTTTGAAGTAATTCAGTCATTGCTGCAAAGCTTTCTAGTGCTGGGTTTGTGAACCGCCAGGGGGAGCAAGGTTCACAGCAAAAAGTCTCCTTAAGTAAGCAGGAAAGCCATTCTGCTAAGTTTTGGGAAGCCAATTTCCAAAATCCCATAGCAAAAATCTCAGCGGATCTTTTCATTAGACTGCCCTACTGTTCATTAGAAAGAATGGGAAAAAGCACCACCAAATGGATTCTGAATACTATTAATGCAGAGGAGCTAAGAGTACTTCTTTACAAGCATTAAGCCACATAACCCCTAGAAATATTACACAGAAATTGAAATGGAGCGCAAGGGACTTGTCTAAAGTCTCAGCAAGTTAACAGAAGAGGCAGGAACCCTGACCTACATCTTGCATTCCAGCCAGCTAGCACTGTACCAAGACTACATCCTGTTTATTTTTTTAGGAGTTGTCATGGGACAGGAGAAGGGTCGGGCTTGAAAATGCTCTTTGACAGGGAGACAGATGAGGGCAAGCTTCCAGACAGAATTCTACCACAAATCTTATCCTGCTTTCCCCTATGCTCTTTGTGAAGGTCTTTGTCCTCAGAGGAATCACCAAAGAAGTTACAGATAAAAATGGAGTAAGAAGAAATCATTACCTTGGCTCTTGCTTCTCGGGCTGCTTCTGCTTCAGCAGCCATTGCTCTCTGCAGCTGGACTGGCAGCTTCACATCCTTGATTTCCACACGTTCCACTTTAATTCCCCAGTCATCTGTTGCCTCGTCAAGTGTGGCCTGTCAAAGAGACAAGACAAATGTGTGACCTTCACTTGCCTAGCTAAATTATGAAAATCATTTTAAAACACCAATGCCAAGTTAAATAAAAAGATTTACCCATCAAATTAAAGTAAAATACTATTAATCCATGGATATCTCCCTACATCTAAGGTGCAGAATATACCTATGTTGCAATTCTGTCATTGCTGAAACATGGTTGTAATATAGTGCTAGAGTAACAAACTTAGAAACTGGCACAAACGCTAAAAGCCATCGCTATGAACCATAATAGCACAGGTATGAGATAGCAAAACAACCCATCTTTTGGACCTTTTCTTTGCTTATGATTCTTGGTATACTTGGACACTGTTCCAGCAGCTCTTGGGAGAAGCTATAAACAAAACCCCACACTCCAAATTCAACTGGATGTGCTTGGCTTGTCAATTTATACCCAAGAAAAGGTTTAGTTTGCAAGGTACCATCCCTGTTGCTTAACTTGATTGAGTAGATAAGCAGGGCTATAAAAGTTGCACATACCTGCATGCTGTGAGCAATTTCTTCACGATCAGAAAGGATCTGAGAGAGGTTCTTGGTCCCCAGAACATTCCTCAGGGTGGTTTGTGCCAAGAGCCGGGTGGCCGAGTCAGCATTTGTGATGTTTGCTACAGCAAGGGTGGCATTCTGGACTCTGTAATAAACCACTCCATCTACATTCACGGTCACAGAGTCCTTGGTGAGGATCTAATAGGGAGAAAAGATGGCAAACAATGAAATGGAACAATAAGGACCACAACAAAAAGATTATTAAAATAGCAAATTGTAATTAGACTACATGCTTGCAATATCATCTAGAGCACAATTCTGTTTTTGCCATAGTCATGGGATGGTTTTAGAAAAGTAGGTTATTTCCATCTCAAATATGGGCTCTGTGTGTGCATGTATTGTATATATGTAAAGACACAAATGAATCATCTCAGTTTAAGTCCTTTGGATTAGGAGAAATTTGGGATCATGACACATGTCACAGGAAAGTATGTTTTAGTTTGAACCCTGGATTGTACAGATGTGTGCAGCAGTGTACATCACTGATAACCTGGCAGAGGAAGCAGACAAAACTTTCAGAAATCAAAAGGACTAAGAACACACTGAAGGGTTTCTTTTTGTTTGCAGAGCATGACTATCCAACTTGCTAAGGTTGTGATCACAGGGTAGGAATACAAAAAAAGAGCAGAGATAAAAAAAAATCATAAATGATAGAGGGCTTCTTTGACATTAATATGCACGGAGACATGGTTTATAAAAGGAGTAGATACACTGAAGCTCCCAAGCAGTTTGAACTGAAAAAAAGTGATATTTTAACAAATTATTATTAGAGCCAGGGTGGTTTATGCAGGTCACTGACTTTGGGGCATGTCCATATCAAAAGGTTTGTCTCTCACAGCTAGATGGCTTGGAAGGTTTAGCCACCTGTGTCCTATAATACAGGAACCATGACAGTGCTGGTGCAGGGCACATCTTTCTTACACACACTGTATGCTGCTTTCAGGACCACAAATCATCTAAGATGAACCTGACCACATGTGTCAATTTATAAACCATGAACAAAACAGGTGACCTACTTAGCTGAATTAAAAAAAAAAGAAGCATATTCTGACTGTGCTTTTTAAAAGGAGTGGCACAAAAAGGAGTTGCCATGCATTTGGGTGAACCAGAGAGGAAAACTCTGAGAGTCATTATCTCAAACAAAGAAATGGTCATAGAAATCAATTTAGTCAAGCACCTGACCCAGCAGTGGCCCATGTCAGCTACTCGAGAGGGAAGTGAAAGCCCCATTAGGTGCCTTGCTTCTGCATCATTACATGCCGTACCAAAGAGAGAAATTATTGCTTGATCCCCAGCTTGTGATCAATTAGTGTCATGAAGCACGGATAATCCCCGATCGGTGTAACAGCGGGTGCTGCTGTTCTGAATTAGGATGGCTTCCTACTGCTGCAGGATGTTGAGGAGGCAGATGTTTAACTATGCCCACAGCTTAGTTGCATTTTGTTTAATACCATGTTTTAAGTGCACCTCTGTGGGCAGAGGCGTAGCAATGCAGCTGGGTGTCCAGGGCAGCTGCCCTGATGAACCCACCCTACTTACGCAACTGTCTTTGAGTCATGTTGTGAAAACACCACTCCCTAAGTTTTAGAGGGAAAGATATTCTCATCTACTAATTCTACTCGTTAAAGAAAGTATCACAAAAATGACTATTAGGCAAGCCCAGCCTGCTACTCAATGGTGCTCTCTCTTCACTGACCTGATGGGGAAGATTTTTACTTTTTCTACTATTGTGTGCATTAAATAAATACAACTACAAACACTCATAAAAAAACCTAACCAGCCCTATGGCAAAAACTGGGCCCAAGTGTTTTATCATTTCTTAACAGCTTCAAAAGGGAGTGGAAAATACCACTCTTTGCCAAGTTACACAGAACTCTTCACTCAGAAGCGTCTCCAGAGATGTAAAGAGCAGCTGGAACAGGGTTGCTTAAAAGCAGCTTGCTAAGGAGCCCTACGGGGAGGGGAAGCACACGTACACATAATAATATATGAAAGAGAGATCAACCACAGCCTTCTGGGAGTCTTGTGGATCCTTTTAGAAGAATGATGTCTCTGAGCAATCAGAGCAAACTGCAGCAACAACAGGACTGCAACCTTCTTTAAAAGCACCAAATGGGGCTCCCCTTACGAACTGCAGGAATGGGAAATGCATGCTCCAAAACTAGTCTGAGGAGGCACCCATACAACCTGGCTATTTAGGAAATAAGTGCGCCAGGCAGAAGGCCTACATTTCATTTGGCTTGCGACCAGCATTATTTACTGCACTCAGATTATTAAAAACAGCTATTTCTTATCATGACCCTGGCAATGTATTGCTCTTCTTACGGACATTGATTGAACAAGAGATGCATGGATCTGCCCAGTATCCGCTGCATTGTATTGACGGGACTAGAAGCTTATCTCTGGAGTGCAGTAGGAAATTGTCATTTGTAGAGACTTGGGGAATTCGATATTAATGATCTATTCAGTTTATTTTTTTTAACATTTATATGTGGTACAGAAAGATGTACATGCCACCTAGCAGAGAGATCAAGAGCATAGCCCCTTTTGAGGAGTTGTAGTGCACGTTAAATATAGCCAACAGCGTCTTGGGGAGAGAGGACTCCTACCTAGAAAGAACAATGTAAAACATTCAGTCATGATATTGTTTCTAATATTAGTTGCTTTAAAAAAAATGAAAAAAATTAAAAGACTGTGCACTATGCAAATCTGGAGAAAGCAGACAGCATGTCAGAGGGATTGCAGAACTGGGTGGCCTTGACAATATTTGGGAAAAGAGAAAGCATGACCTCCAGCATTTACTGCCTTTGGGTCCCATACTCTATTGGCTACAAGTCTGATGTAACATTGTCAGACAAAAATCAGAGAAAGGCTATCATCAGCATAAAGAGCCATGTTTTGTAAATGAAAATGTATTGCTGCCCCCATCAATAAAAATCACAAGCATAATGTAATCTAATTGAAAAGGAAAACTGAAAAACCTGATGGCCTCTGTAATGGTGCATCAGCAGCTACAAGCACATTAAGTCCAACTGTGATTAGGTTTCTAACCAATTAACCTTTAGACTCTTTTTTGACAGTTACCATTTGTCTAAATCCACCCAATAAAGATGAGCAGTAAACTGGGTGGCAAATGGTACAGAAAACAAATATGCCAGGCAGGTTGCATTCAACAACACATCAGACAAAGCAGAATCCCAGTTACAGTCATCATGGTGCAGCTGTTTGAGAATGTGTTTTTAGAAGGCTTCTGGGAGATACTTAATTCTGAAGCGACATATCCAGTGAATTTTCCTCATCCATGGGTTTCTCTCTTTACAGAAATAGTGGGTTTTCTTAAACAAGAGTTGTTCCTTGGACTTCTGTTTCAGACTTGGTCAGTCACCTACATTTCTTTTACCTCAAAGATCTGAGGGAGGTTTACAGGTAATGCAGCTTCACAATACCAATGCCAAGAAACGATTTGAGTTCAGTTACCCAGATGGTGATGAATTTACTGAAGAGCAAATGAGAAATGAGGGCTTGGCTTTGCATCAGCTGCTCCACACCGACTCCCCATATATATGCTATTAAATTGATGGCAGATGACAGCCAAACTTCAGCAGCTCAGCCCTCAAAGAAAGAGGGTAAGTTACCACGGCTTAGCTTCCATTTCCTGTGGGCCACAGGTATGAGCATGGGAAGTTACTGCAGAGCAGCTGACTCCGAGTAAATTGTTCATATGTCTATACCTTAATGCAGGAGGGATGATCGATTTGCCTTAAGATCATACAGCAACACAGCAGCAGAACTGCAAGCACAGCACAGCAGTCTTGACAGCAAAGCCTGCCAGCTCAAACCACAATGCAGTACTTGACAAATCACTTATTAATGTTTGAGGGGAGACTGTTTTACTGAATGTCATGAATAAAGGGTTAAGTTTCTTTATACTACACTGTACCTGAACAAAGAGGAAGCCAGAAATCTACTCCAACACTATATAGCTATACAATACTGGGTGAGGGGAAGGAGGGTTGGAAGGGAATAGGTTTAAATTACAGGCAGCAATCCATAGCTCTGGGTGTGTTAAATCACACTGCACAGAATTCAATACATGTTTTCACTGATACATTATTCAGAGCTGGTTCAGACAAGATTAAAAGCTTTCACTGAAATAAGAATAGCTGGAGGGAGTTGCTTGCAAAATAATTCATGCCAAATCAGGAACAAACAAGGGGATTCAGAAGCCCTTGAAGAAAAAAAAAAGGAGTATGGAGGGTTGAATTCTGTTTGCATTTGGCAAGATGCCAGATGGGACAGTGCAAACTTACCTCTTGGGGAGGTATATCAAACGAGATAGTCCTCATATCCACTTTGATAAAGCTGTCTGTGCAAGGCAGGACAAAGAACAGACCTGTACACAAAATCAATTCAAAAGACTGAGACAACAGACCTTCAATGCTCATTTATTTTAGCAGCTCTTTGACATCCTCTCATCCCCACCCATCCGTTTTAGACAGTGTATGTACTTCACATACTTCAGCAGCATTTGTTTGTTAGCTCCATAATTTTGCTTTGTGGCTCTTAAAAGGGAATCAGGCATTACTTGGTACAAACTCTGAAAAGCTCACTACCCTTGGGGCTGGATTTGAGAAGAAAGAAACACTACATGACAACGTGCTGCCCGTAGGGACCAGATCTAGTAGTCGGGAACTAAAGAATTCTACAGAACTGGGGATCATTATTTACTGCCAATATGCCAGGGATGGAAATATTAATAAAAACGGAAAAGAAAGATGCTGCTGCAACTGGTCACCTCAGACAGAAAGTAACACTGCCACCCTGTACAATCTTGGCACAATTTCCAAAGTACAGAGGAAAAACTTTTACAAGTGGCCAAACAAATGCTCAAGTTGTCCTTTTAAAATCAATAAGGCTTTTAAGTCACTCAAATATTTGTGAAAGCTTTAGCCTTAAGTTTCTAAAAAAAAAAAAGGCCTCATTTTTCCTATCTGTTTGGTTTCACTTTCACCCTTCAAGCCTATATATCAGCTAAGGAGCACTGGATGAGACTCACTTTGTATGGAGAAAATGAGAAGGCTAAGGCTGCCAGCTACTGTTTGTGACAGACCCATTTTCTGGAGCTTTAATCCACTTGTCCCTTACTCAGCTAAGCCACAAGAGCTCCTGCTTTACTGCCCTGACAAAATAACAAATTTGAAATGTTATGTATTTATTGCCAATTGTATCCACAGCCCCCTGAGCACCTCAAGAGAAAATGCATCCTAAAGGAAACCAAAACTGGTATAAAAATAATAGGTTCTTATGTGATGGGGGAAGGCATGGAATATATATAAATGAATAATTTTTCAGTGTAACTGAGGCAAGCTGCTACTTGGCTTTTTGGTTACGAGTGATTTTGCTAAAATTAGGTTAGAAGAAATGTCCAACTCAAACAACCTTTCCCAGGGAGAGGGCAATAACAACCAGCACCATCGTCCATATTGTACCACCAAGCTGACACAGTGAATACAGTCCTTTCCCCTGACAACTGTATAACTGAATCAGACTCCATATGCACAAATATTTAGCATGCTACACTGGACTGACCTGGTCCTTTGGCTCCCCCTTTTAAGATGCGCCCAAGTCTAAAAATGATGGCTCGCTCATACTCCTTTATGATCTGTAATGAGTAAATAGACATTCAGTTTAAGAGGTCTCCATCAGGAATGAAGATCTACAGCAGTCCTGATGACATGTCAAACCTTGTGGAAATTTATTATGAATAATACTGAACAGTCTCTAGTCTTACAGGGTGTAACATGCATGCTTTCATTTTTTCAGTACAGCAGTTACAAGAAATAAATATTAAAAGAGGGTTATTTGTCAAGAAAATATTCTAAAGGAAGAAATAAATGTCTGGGGAGAATGGAATGATTTTGCAAGAACTGATGTGGCAATCAGACCACTTGGATAAAACAAAGAAAGAAAAGAAAAAGAGTATAAAGAACACTCCTGCCCTGAAAAGGGTAGACAGACTAGATGTGATATAATTAGTCCTAGAAAAGCCCTAATTTCCTTTTTTTTAAATACAGCTTTATAATTTTCTCTCCATCTCTTCTAATTAAAATACATTCAAAATGCAATGCAATAAAATGTCATATACTATGTGGTTGTGATCAAAGAATGATGGGCGGTCATGATCATCTGTGGTTTGGGGAAATCAATTGAACAATGTCACTAACTAACAGGACACATCCTGCATTGTTTAATGGCTAACTTGAGTCTACCAATGAACAGCTTTACCTTTATGCACATCCAGACAGATATCGGAAAGGTAAGAACAGTGAAGAAAAACGAAACAATCACGAGGATCCATCCACATGCACCAAGGCCAGTATCAGAGTCCTCTGGAAGAAAGAGGTAGGTATTT